TATGTTTGCCAAGTTCTGATATTGTAAATTCATATGTGCAGCAAACCTGCTGCATACCTCATGCTAACATTAAAATATTTTAGGCACGCAATGTACCTTGCCCTTGAAACTGGGTAGTTTGATCACGTGATCTAGAAGTATCAGGGCATTCTGAAGCAGTAGCGCTTTCTTGAGGCCATGCAGCAAGAGTTGATCTAGTTGCTAAAGGAGGAGCATCTCCATTTCTTGTTCTGTGATATAAAAGAAAGAATTCTTAAATCAAACTGCTGGAGTAATTTAAACACCATTTCTTCACCCAAATGTAGCTCTCAAAAATTAATAAAATGTCCATAGAGCCTAAATGCAAGTATATTCATATAATACTTGGATACTTTATGAGAGCAATTATACAAAGACAATAAAGTTCCAAATTGTATAGGAAGTACATGAAACTATATTACAATCAATGGTTTATCTTCCCTGGTTTAAGGAAAGAACACATCAAAATTCAGAAATATGGAATACTAAAGCATCAACAATATCTCCGAACCTAACTTGTTTAACTGTTGCTCTGTAGCTGCTCGGTCAAAGGCTGAGTAGCATTAATGAGTTTACGACTGATTCCTAGGTGACAACATGCTTCTTACACTACTAGTCTAATTGGTCTTCTTGGGTTTCTTTATACTGCACTTTGTATAATGTTTTATCCTAGATAATTCCATGGAGCTTCTTGTAGTCTTATAAAATTCAAAGCACAAGCTGTTTCCAGTAGGACAGAGAAGTACTCAACTTCCACTGTTTCACATCACTGATATCATTGGAATTGCTATATGGCTTAGCTAACTCTTGGACACACACGTAATTGATCAAGAACTGTAGTATTTCTACTCTAGTTTTGTAAATTTCATAGATGCTAAAATAAATCAATGAGGGATTGTCAAATTTGATTGCTTTCTTCTATTTTTTACTCGAAAGCTTTCAGCTTTGACCCCAACAGAGTTACTCTCCGAGTGAAAAGAGTAAACAAGTAACAAAAATACTGAGTACCTTCCAAGTAACTCGGACTTATAAACTGTTCAAGCTAGGTAGCCTACTCACCAATGTCTAGGCCGAGTAGTGAGTACTCGCTACTTAAATTGAATAGTATCCCAAAACTAATGGGTAAAAAAATATCATTACTTCTAAAAAACACTGGCAAACAAGAAAGGATCTAACTTGCCAATACTATGTAGCCTGCTCGTATTCATCGTCATATCAATTCTAGTGTAAGAAAGATATTGTCCAAAGATAGCAGTGTATCGAACCAAATGTAAGTAATTGACCTTAGATATTAGATTATTACATACAGATAAGACAAGGGTTCTATATATATAACCCAATAACACACCTCTTTCCCCTTGGTGGTTTGTTTGCTTCAACAACAAGTCTCTGGCGAGCTCCCTCCAACTCATCAACCATACCTCCCAAAATTTCAAAAACTTCAGGAACCAGCAAGAGGAGTCCATGCCTTACACTGACATTGCATATGGAAACCTGAAAACTAGAGCAGGGGTCTGTATTGAATCTATTAATAGGTGGTTATGAAAAGTATCAAATATCCATCAACTGGTGTCGGTTATTTTCCTTTATGTAGCAACTTTATAAAACAGAAAAGTGCACCAATCAATAAACCACTCCTTCAAAACAGAGTACACGCAAAAAAAAAACCTAATATAATCCCAACATTTGGGTGCAGGGTCAAGATGTATGCAGTCATACCCTAAACGCATTCCTGCATTCATTGCCCAAAACTTCACAGAAAGTAACATGCAAAGGAAGTTTAATGTGTCATTATGTGTCCAAAACTAAAACATTGTTAATGAGGACTCTTTTCGCTCCATTGGCAATGGAAGGGAGTGTGTGCACGAACACATAAAATGTAAAGGGAAAACTGGACAATTGACTAAACAAGGCTTTCAAATATGAACCTTTATCCCAGCAGGAGCCATGGCATTAAGTCCCTTTAGAGGCCTGTACTCCATACCAAACACACGCTGGATACCATCTATCATTGATAATTTGAGACATCTCTTAATTCCAGCTGGTGCTTCCTGGTACCTCCCTCTTAGAGGACAGCTGATATTAATTATCTCATCCACCTATAAACATTAATAATAATAAAAAATACGTAGTATATATTGAAAAAACAAAATATATGGCCAAATGTTCTGTGGAGTATACAAACAAGTACTGTCATACTAACATCATTGTTCATAATTACAACAAAGAAATCCAAATAAGAACTTTTCATTGAAACTTTATAAACTACAACAGGTTCTGAAATCGGCTAATTGACACTTTTGGGATACTTTTTTATTTCACAATGAAGCTCACAAGTTACGTGAAAAGTCTTAAAAGTTCCTTTCGGAATTCAATTGCCATTACAACTAGAAATGAACAAAATAAGCATTGAGTGGGTAAACCTGCTGGAATTGAGTCATCTACACAACCAGAGATTGAATTCAAGGCGACAAAATGCAAATACCAGTCTAGAAACAACAAACCTGAAGCACAAATGGGCCTTTAAGATCAACTGATTGCAAAGTGTGCACATTCGGAGGCAATCCCCCTGCACCTGAGAAGTTCATGTCCGAGTAGAGGAACTGCTTAAAGCACAGCTTGGCCTTGGATGAGGAATCGAAGGCCGAGAAACCAGGGACGGAGGCTTCTAGTTGGCCAATGCAGGACTGCAGCCATTCCGCCCTCAACCGGAGACCCATATCCTGCAATACGCGGCCAACTGCGCAGTCGGCGGCTACTTGTGCCGAGGGAGGGGCGGTGGAATTGAGGGATACGGTTTGGAAATTGAGAGTGGCGGTGGTTGAGTCGTCTTCTTCATCGACTTGCGGCGGTGGTTGTCGAGGCCGCGGAACCGATTCTACTGCTTCTTCTTCTTCGTCGGAGGAGGAACTGACGATTTGGTGGCGGCGTCTCATCGTGTTCCCTGTTTCCACCACTTTTCCCTCCACTTTTTTTCCAATACTAAATTATAGTGGAATTGCCGAAAATTATTAGATAAATAATGCAGCCTATAGGCCACAATTAAAGCCGTGCAAACAACGGTCGGCCCGTTCGCCCCGCCCAACCCGTCCTTTAAAAAGGACGGATATGAACAACTTTTAATGTCCAAATGGGCAGACTGGCCCAAGTCCGAATTGTATATGAGCGGATCTGGAAGTTACTTTTAGCCCATCTGGGCCAACAGGCCTGCCCATATTCATCAAATATATTTACTTTATTATTAATTACTTAGCCAAAACAAATTTTAAATTTTTTTATAATTCATGTATAATAGTTTAATTCACTCACCTCTTTTAAACCAAAATCAATACTCTTTTAATGAATCAGTATGATGAGTTTATTAATTATGCAACAATACTTCTATTATGCTTTCTATATAAATGTGATGACTGATTATTTTATTTTAAACATTAAAAAAGAGTTCAATATTTTTTTTTTTAAATTTTAGTACAAAATAAAATTTCTTGATGTTTTATCTGGGCCGGGCGGCCCAGTGGACAGTCCGGCCCGCAAAGATGGGCGGGTATGGGTAAAGAATTTAACCCATCAAATACGGGCTGGGCCACGCCCGCCCATGTAAATGGGCTATTAATTTATATTAGGCCCGGCCCAGATCCGGCCTGGATCCTTATTTGCACAGGTCTAGCCACAACTATCCTATATTCATATATATATATATTTTCTGTTCGAGATTTTTCGGTATGGAAAGTCACCTCATGCCGATTTCAAATACCGGACTGATCTGATATGGTACGTTTCTTATTTGGTATTTTATCAGATTATATTTTTCAGTTCGGTAATCTTGATTTTTTTTCGATTTGATATTTGCTCACCCCTACCCCAACTACAAGTATACCATTTGGTTTGGTGTAAGTCTAATGTTTCCTTCAACTTATTATCATATCATCATATCATATCATATATCATATATCATATATATATATAAAGTTGAGTTAAACCGTTGTGGGGCTGCCATGTGCCAATCCAAGTAGGCTATTTCGGTGCTTATTTGGAAAAATTGTAGCTGACTCATCAAATAAAAAAATAATCCAATACAGTATTTTTTTAGGCAGTCCGATTGCTATTGACTACCGTCCCTTCTGTTTCCCATCCGCTTTGCCTCTTTGGATTCACCATCAACGACGATCATAAGTTCCACCGACCACCATCAACGACGATCAAGAGCTCCACCGGTTGACGCAAGAGTTCCCAGCGGCCATCAACCGTTGTCTGGCGCAAGAGTTCCACCACACTTCTTCCTCTCCGTTACACCTGCTTGCTCGATTCTTTTAATGGAGGTGACGAATCTAGGGATTGAATTGCCGACTGGCTATTTACTCGGGTTGTTCGTCTTCCTCCCTCCACGAAGTGCCCCACGTACTCAATCCAATAGTCATACCGACGTGTTTGATGTGGACAAAGTCAAGAGACATGCTCAACAAGTAAGCCAATGCCCAACCCTAAGCAGTTAGGGTGATCTGATAATCTGTCATGACATAAACCCCATTTCCTGCAAAGATGGTACCTAGGGACAAAAATGTCTTTAGTGTCTATGTTGCAGAATTTGATTATATAATCATTTCAGATTTCAGGGAACTAACACATGCTTCCCTATGTGCCAGCCCCATAAATAGTTTGCTTTTTTAATACATTCATGAAGTGTTGTGTAAGAAGAGGGATGTGGAATTAGAGGAATATAAACAAGGATTGAAATTGAGAAATTAAAAAAAATGTTGTTGATGGTACGTTGATGTTAGTGCTTAAAACCATTAATAATTTTAAAAGGATTATTGCTAATGCTACTGCATAGTGAGCTAACCTATCAATCTGCCATGCCATTGAGCAGCTATACCTGGCTTCCTTTGTGTGAACAACGCAAAAAAGATTTCATTAGAAGTGGTGAAACTTCTAACTTGAAATTACAGTGTCTTACATATCTTCATTCCTGTATTTCAGATCCAGTCGTTCATTGCTGGCGTACCTTTGATTGTTGTTGGGTTTAGGTATATTTTAAATATCTTGTGATAATCCATGCTCTCTCTCTCTCTCTATTCCGTGTCAAGAAAATGCGAACCAATGAGATCACACATAGGGTAAAAGGCAAAGGTTATTGGCAGGTAACAATACATATGCACACACAAGCTGGTTATTGTTATATTATTAAAATGGAATGGCACTAGAAATCTTCTATGACAAGCGGTTCTTTCCTTGTATTGACGTGTCAGAAATAGTGAAACCCATGTCATTCTGTCAATTTGATTCCTTTCCCCCTAAATTTTGCAAAGCTGTTTATTTGATGCATTGTGAATATCTTCAATAGTTCCCAAGTTAGGGTTTAGTTAGAGATATATAGAACATGTAGGGGGGCGTAGGGTATACATGCACTGTTGTAGGGTCCCAAAAGTCTGAACTTTTTTTGTAACTGAATGCTCAATGTGTACTTTGGTTTTTATTTTAACAGGGGGGCGTATGCCTTGCATTTGCAGATGAGGTCTTATGCTGGCTCTATGGGACGGTAAAGGAAAGTAAGACTTCTTTGGCAAGCCTTTTTT